GAAACCGGATGCCTCTCGCACTTAGGTTGGACCAAGGTTAGCGAGTAATGACGAGATCTGATTTGCAACCTACTCAAGCTTGGGCAGTAGCAATGCACGAGTCATGCCAGGGGATACTTTCCACTCGAGTCCAGATAGTAACTTCTCTCCCCATTCATCAACGAAAAATGAGACAGTTACAGAGGCAAGGAAGGAACTCGGGTAGCTCTTGTCGGGGACATCCCCACCCAAGCTGAGAGATGCGCACGCGCAGAGTCACAATTCGGAAAGACTGGTGGACGTCGATGTCTTTTCCCCAAGCAAGTGTCGACATTCTAAATTCGTGATTGAAAAGTCAGGAAGAATTCTGCTGAAAGTGTTCTCAGTCTGTTTCCTTCCAAGATTTGCCTGATGAAAAATGTCGATATGAAGGTTTTTGGGGGTCATGAGACAGATATCAGGAAATAAAATTCGACTATGGGTCATGAATTCTAACGTTCGCTTTCATAAAAATAATCAGTTCAGTGGGCGTTCCCAATTCGAAACGCTTCACAGTTGAAAAAAAAAAGGAGATGATGTTTTGCCCTCATCAACAGAGCTTCCATAATTCCTTTTCAAGTAGTTTAGCTGATAATCATGAATTACTCACTGATTAGGTTCCTCTTTCCCGCTGCGTTTTTTCAATTCTCACGATCAGTGGGGATGCTTTGCAGAGCTCGGGGTAAGAAAAACTTTTACGCTTACACGTTACCTGCGCAAAGGCCTGCTGATACTACAGTACTGGTCGCATTGCCGTATTTCAATGTCTGGAGATACAGACGAGACGACGGAAATGCAAGGCATTTCAGAATTTCTAGCAAGGATTTATTAATAAATTGACAAGCACAATACAAACAGTTTTTAAAATATCACACTGATGTTCCAGATTAGAATTTGGCGCGGCCAGTTTCAAATATGATTCAGTCCTGCGGGAATGTTGTTCTTGGCCACGTGAAGACATCATCTCCAGCTCTCTTCTTGCGAATACCCCTTCTTGGAGCTTTCTTTTTGTCTCATCCTTTCGGACCTCTATGTGGAGTAGATGAAGGGAAACATTTCGCTCATCCCCTGCTTCTTTCATTTTCACGGTTAAGCCAACATTATACGTGAGACTTGCGCAAAAGTAAAAGAAACTAAGGAACGCGTAATTTTCCCCATTGTACCAGGATCCTTTCCTTATCATTAAGCCTCTTCATTTTCTTTGGAGCCTTGAAAATGTAAGAGCCCCTTCAAAAAGTATGTCAGGCTTTTCTTTATTTTTTTCAATACAGAGCCTTCTGCTGTAGCTTCTAAAGTTTACTTGAAAATTCATCAAAATGAAAATCACTGATATTAGAGGGGAGTCTAGATGAAGATGCACCACCTCCAAATCTCTCCCTTTCCAGCAAGCCCTGCAAGTGTTGACAACACAACTTCGGACAAAATTCATAGTTCAATGATTCATGTTAGCAAGATGCGTGAATTATGAAATGTTGCATGGATCCCAAGTAGAAAGTTAATGCAAACAAGATATCAACTTTTTTGCAAACAGTCAAATCACTTGAGGTTGTTATGCTAATGATATCACATTCATATAAATTTTTACTTTCCTATATTTACATTACCAAAGTGGATGTGTATTTCATATGAACTTGATATGACTCCACCTGATACAGGATATGAAGTTCATTTAAAAAATCAACATCGCACCATCCACATGAAATCTTTACCAAGAAAAGTTTCATAAAACTGAATTTTTTCTCCTTCAGGAACATGTTGAACATCACCTTGACTTTAAAATGTACATATATCATTACACATGTGGCACAAAAGTAGTGGGCCATAAGTGGCCCTGACATTATAGTGGAGAGTTTCTACCTGAGGCGGGAACGTGGCAACATGTGGGACAAACAGTTGCTGACCTGCTAACTAGTTTATGTGGAGGACCACCAGCTGCCTTCCCATAATGTAACCGACTCTCCTACAGTTGCAGGACCAAGAGTCTTCACTAGATAGAACCCATATTCCCTACACGCTACTAATGCAATTAAGTACCTGCCTTCCTGATTTAGTATACGGTTTTCCTCCCCTCTTTCTTTTTTATTGTGAAATATTTATACAGATATGAGGAAAACATGGAATTATGAAGGAATTGAGTACCAACCTTGAATTTGGTATTATTAGATAGTGTAAAGCAGACACTTTTTAATGATGCATTATACGTCGGGATTCATGGAGTGGTAAGTGCAGTAGTTGGTTACTGAAGTCATTCAAATTGTTCGAACAAGTTGAATTTCGGCACTACTGGATCACAAAATAGTAATATTTCGTCAAGCCATTGAATTCAAATCTCGAATTTTGTATCTAAGAAATGGCCTGTTTAATGAAATATTGAAACAACGAATTCCCGAGGTGGCAAGTGTCGATATTGGCAAATGAACTTGATCAAACTGTTTGAACAAGTGGATTTTCTTGTTTCAGCTTAGGAGAAGAGTGCCTGGAATCAATTTAAACATGCAAACTCACAATTAAAATGGCACCAGAATGAAGCTTATATCTTAGCAAGAGGGGAAGTTATTGCAGAAACAGTTTCGCAATTCCAGTCCGTATGGGCTCTGGGAGCGAAATTAGGACACATTAAAATGCATGTATCTGAAGATCTGTGGGAGAGGTAAAAAAAAGATTGAAATTGGTTTCTTTAAATCGATTCCTCTTCGTGCATGCCGATTTTCTTCAAAATCCAAAATGGTCGAGCTCACTTGCTGCTTGATTTGGCCTGGAATGACCCCATTGCATAATTAGTTTGCAGTCCATCGTGAAACTCACAGGAGTGGGACTTGATCGTGCACTGCCTCTGCTGTCGTCTTCAGATCTGTCTCTTCTCGGCCACCTCTGCAATACAGTGAAAACTTGTTAATTTTCAACGGGGCAAATCGTTTCGAGTTATTCGAAGTTCGAGTTATCAGGAATCGCCCCCCCCCCCAAAAAAAAAAAAAAACTTCACTTTAAGGGACGTAACCAGACGGCGATTTTTCCGCCCTCAAAAGTCCGATTTCACGGAGCGACGACATTCCCATTATACAGTAATAGGCTTTTATTCATCACGAATGAAACTTTAATACTCCACATGCAAAATTAATTTATTGCAACGGCTTTCATCTGGGGCTCTCTTGGTTTTCTGACATGTAATCTGTGATCTTCATTTGCTTCGTAAAAGAACTTGCAAAAGAGAAGGGGAAGTCCTCCAAATTTCCTATTGCCTCGAACAAGTCGACTGGCACTTCCCCTCGCGAAAGGAGGAATTTTCTCACAATCGCCAGTGCATTATTGGCATCGCTCAAAGACGGCGGTAGAACATTGAGCCTTCTTCGGCAGTCCGAATCAAGTGCACTTTCGCTAAGAGCGTCGGAGTTTTCTTTTTCCTCTTGAGTGGGCTCATTCCACACCAATAGCGTAAAAGAAATAGGATATGAATAGAATGGCTCGATGTGAGAGCGATCGACAGAGCGAATGTTAGAGGTTGCTTTTTTTTATAGCCGAAGCCTTTCCGTTTTAATCCTCAGGTTTAATCCTCTCCACAGGCGTCTGCGTGGGAGGAGGGAGAAGCAGAAAAAAAAACATTAGAAACAAAAGAACATCCTCCCGAACGGGTTTCTTGTCATTCATCCTATTCAAAAATCGAAAGGTCCCTGGAGAATAATTTTTCCCCCCTTCTCACCCTAAATTCGAGTTAACAGTGAGAAAATCGTTATCGGGAGTGAAAATGTAATTTGAGATATCCGGAAATTCGAGATAAGTGAATTCGAGTTAAATGGAGCATTTAACGTGGTGTCCTACGGGGTTCCGCCGGGATCAAGCATTGAAATTCGAGATAAGCGGAATTTCGACTTATCAGGATTCGAGTTAACGAATTTTCACTGTAGTTGACAAAACATATTTCAACTGAGCCGTTTTACGGTGTTCCGTGTTTGTTGTGTGCACGAGTCTTGAAATGTTACAGCGATGTTATTGTCTTCGGAGGGAGAACAGCGAAATTTACAAAGGGGGAAGGAAAGACTTTTGTTCCCTGACCTATTGGCATCAATGGCAGTGTTTCCTTTTCACCGTAAAGACGTACTCATACTCTCCATTAGCTTTGATATGGGCAAGAGCCTGCTTCGTTTTGCTTTTCCTTAATGTAAATGTTTACCTCGTTGAATCGAGGTTGGCAATTCGTTATTCATGAATCAGCCTGATGCATGCGAATAGTACAAATTAATGTTCTCCATGGAAACGCTGCAATGAATTGTTAAGATATCCTTCAAATATGTCTTATTCGCAAGTCTTCGCAGTTCGACTCTCAAAAATAGCCCAATCTTGAAGGGCTCACTCTCCTGTCAAATGAAAATGAAGGACAGGAGTCCGTTCAAAATGACAAATGCAGTGGACGGCCATCAAAAAGCAGTATTGAGAAAGCTGTGCTGCCCATGTTGAGCATGTTGACATGCTCATGCTGAGCATGTCTTTAGTAACGACAGGCAATCAATCGGTACCACGACAGTAACAGGGAATTTCTAACCAATTATGGGGTGACATTGCTCTCACATCGCCATATTCACCTAACCTAGCAGCTTGTGACATCGAGCTACTTCCCAAATGAAGTTCCTTCTGAGAGACTGCAGCTTCGACGACACATGGGCTCTCCAATCAGCTGCAATCAACGCGTTGCAGGTGACTGCCAAGAATAGCTTTTAGCCAGTGTTACAAGCTTTAAAAACGTAACGGGACGTATATTGCAATCCAATAGAGCTATTTCGAAGGGAACCATACCTAAATGTAACTCCTGTTAATAGTTATCTCCTACGAAAGCCGATATGGATCTTTTTCTGCGAGTCTTTGTATTTGTCTGGATTTTTAAAATTTATTTTGTCTTCCTAAAATGCTCATGCCATCGGCTGATCTTGCCATAAAAAGTAATTCTCGAATCCTCTTGGAATTGTTGGATTTCCTAGTAAACTCACACTCTTGGATCTGGGCCATGTACTGGTTGCAGATGCCCCTCTTGAAGACATTTCACCTCCAAATCTCGCCGTTGTCGCCGATCTCTATAAGGAATTCAAGAACAGTACATATTGAGAAAAAAAGGCCCTTGTATACCCTGTATAGGGTGAGTTCCGAGAGGGCAGAAAAATGTCTGTGGATAAATATCCTCTTGGCACTTCTAAGCCCATTACTACGCTTTCCCTTCGACTGATTCAAAAATACATATGAACGAAAATACTATGAACAAGGATATATCTACTATACAATAAAGGCAGAGTGTATTCATTGTGTTCCCAGCTTCAATCTAAAATATTGAATAAATATTAGAAGTGAAACTACTTGCCGCCCGAGCGTTTATTCATCACAACTCTTCCATTCCATAGTTCCAACTGATGCTCTCCAAGTTGTTCTTTTCCTTTTTGATGCAATGAAAGAAAGCACCGTTTGACAGATCAAATGGATGAGCAAAGGTATTGCATTCAGTATTGTGTTTTTTTTTCCTCTTTTGACTCACTTCATGGCACTTTCCGTTGTCCTTTGAATGGTAAAAAGAGACTTAAATCTTCTCTCATTTACTCACGCCTGGCAACATTAATGGCGAGAAGGGAAATTTTTAATGCCAAAATGTGTATTAGTATGGACGATCCAAGCGAAATCTACGGGAAAATGGGGAAATTTTATCCTGAAGGGAGAACAAATGTACCTGTAAGTTTCTTCCCCGTGGAAAAATAGGCAAGTACTTTTTCTCCGAAAGTGAAGAGGTATTTTTTTCCCGGGGGAAATGTTTCACTGAAGGTTAAGATATCCAAGAACACCGGCGGTCACTGTGGACATGTTCGGAACGGGGTTCGGGGAATGGGAACGGGGGTTCAGAACTACACAGGTTCGTCATAATGAATTATTCATGACCATCATGTGTGTGTTGGTTTATAAAACGGATTTTTACCCTTCTTATTCCTCCTTATTCTATTGTGTGTGTGTAGCACAATCAACTTTCCAAAAAGAGGGAATCCATTGAAAATCACGAAAGCAGTGGACGGCCATTGAGAAGCCGTAATGCGGAACCTGTGCAAGTCCTTTTCTGATATACCCCGTTACCGCTGGCAATCAGTACCACGGCAGTTCCATGGAATTTCTATCCAATCGTGGGGCGACGTTCCTCCCACATCCTTTCTACTCATCCGACCTCGCGCCTTTTCACTTCACTGTTTCCCAGTTGAAGTGCCTTCTAAAAGGCCACCGCTTTAACTACGCAAACGCTATCTAGTCAGTTGCAACCAACGCATTCAAGGAGGTTGCCAGGAATTGGTTGCAAGCAGCATTCCAGAATCTTTATTTTAAAAAAGTTAGGAAAAGTGTATCGAATGTCAAGGGAACTGCTTCGTACTTCGAAGGGGATCGTACTGAAACATAACTTCTGCATTTCGTCTGCTTGCGTTAAGGACAGTCTCGAACCTTTTCAAAGGTGTAGTGTAGAGAAAGAGGGAATGGATAGAGAAGAGTCATTTGCCTTCGATCTCCATTGGAATGCAAAGCTATGAACATATCGTCATTGATGTTGGCAGCTACACGACTCTAAAATTTATTTATCATGCATTATGCAATCCGATTGACGTAGACTTATGAGGGGGAACCTTATGATGTATCAATGATGAAACAGCATAGTTTTAATTTACCACATTGGGGTCATGACGGATTGATAGCTTCATGCATTATTGGGTGATATTTCATTTGAAGAATATTTGTAATTAATCCAAAACATTGATAAGGCTTGTCAAGGTAGAATGATGCCCTATCGACATGAATGCATTCGTTCGGTTTACTGACAGTCATTCCTTCGTTATTCCTTGCCTGCTGAAAAGCAGCCAATGAAATCTTGGCCATGTTGATGGCTCCATCTTGTGTTTTGTTCACTCCAAAGAATCCACTTCTATGCACGAATACGGTCCCATCCACTTTCTCCACCTCATTTGTCAATACCCTCCAGCCAGGATGTAAAGGCACCCTTCAATCAACAGAAATTCGTGATAAATCAGTTGCTAGAGCGTTAAGTCCTAAAGGACTTGCTGACCGACATTTACCTCAACTTGCGGTCATCAGCACTGATCGGAACAGCCTGAATTTTCCAATATCCTTTTAGGTCAGGGAAGATAACAAACTTAACTTGTCCTTTTTTCAAAGTATATTTTTCGCCTTCTTCCTCCAACTCAAAGAGATGCTTCATCCATGGAAAGCCATCTTGTAAGGCAAGGATCTCCCGACTTTCATCCTGAAAAAATTACAATTTGTTGGGCAAGTTCTTTCATAAGAGAGAAAAAATGATCTGGGATCTTCCTACCTGAAACCCTGTTTTAAAGGCCTCGAGAAGCTTCTCTCGGGCAGGCAACCACACAGTCCCGAAGTATGTGATACAGCTTTTGAATTCATTCCCTGCCGTCTCCATGGCGGCGAGGAAGGCAGTGTAGAAGCCGTCGTCCGTATTTTTGTCTTTCTCATTCCATTGAGGGTTCATATTCCCGATTCGGTTAGTGAGGTTTGTCCTGATTTGGAACTTTTTCTTCCTATGAGAACAAAATAAATTCTCCAGTCTCGATACAAATCATGAAGTGTAAGTCACTTTAGTATCAAAACCTACTTGCAATCACAGATGCTGTAGCCATTGTCACAAGCATCTATTTCTTCTACGAAATTTTCGTACACCTTGTCGAAGACCACGTCCACCTTCAAGTCTTCTAATCCACAATCCAGGACTGTACTAATGATCCTATGGCCAAAGTGAGCGAATACAAGACCCGCACTACTCAGGGGCGTCGTCGGCATCTTCTTCGGTGTTAGGTGCTCAAGGGTGCTCAAGCTATGCTTGAAGTCACTGTTAGGGTAAAAAAAAATGCGATTTCCAGGACTTCAGACAGTATAATACGAGGTGATATGTTGATTGACGCTGATAAAAGGCTTACTTTTGATGGTGGTCGAAGCGACATTCTTCTGGGATGTACCTCTTACCCACATCCACAACTACGTCACATTTTGAAAGCAATTCCTCATCTCTCGTTCTGCACGAAAGAGGTGGTCAAAAGTGTAATTTGACCACAGTGAAAGAAACATATCACAGTGAATGACGATATTTATCTGCAAAGCTACATTACATCTATGTCGAACGTGTTCCAAAGATTGTCCTTAATTCATTCAGACTCTTGTATACATTGGAGTATTTAGAGCAGGAAGCATGACAATGCTACCACTGACCTAATTATTCGTGGGTTCAAAAAAATAGAAATAGAAATAGAGCCTTGTGCGATGGATGTAACTTCCCTAGTAGTACATAAAATTGAATCAACATCAAATCCAAGTTTTTTCAATGTTATGTGCTACTAGCGTTTGAGTGAGTCAGGAACCTGCACTTCCGAGCATCATTGTATGACAGATGTCGCTGTCCAGAGGAAATTTTGCAAGTTGATTCATGAGGCTTTTGTTGTAGTCATCCAAGCGTAATAATTATTATATTCCCATGTCATTCGACAACTGTTGTGAAACCAAAGTTGAGACTCACCTAATTATTTTGGCGTCTTTATATTCAGGGAGCACCTGGAGCATGAAGCAGGCAAGAGCCTCATCACAATGGAATTTTCCATTATGAGTTGCTATCTTGCAACTCGACTCTGGAGGTTGGGCCATAGTGGAACAACCGGGTTGGATTTCAGGCCGATTCTTCTTCAAGCTATTACTTTTCAAGCCAAAAAAGTAAGGCAATTACACTGTTAAAAAATTTTCCGATTCGGAACACCTGAAAACACCCCATTCAGAACGTTAAAAGAAACTTTTGGAACACCTCAGGTGCTCCTTTTATATGTTCTTCCCAACAAAGATGGGGCACATATCAAAATAAATAGGCGAATATTGAAGGCAGATAATGCTTCATTTTGTGAAATAAATGGAAATGAGGAAATGAGGAAACTATACACAGTATAAATGAACTATTTTGAACTGCTGTCCACTGGGGCTACGCTGGGTACAGGTGGCTAACCATCAAATGAATATAATTCCAGTCATCTCTTGTGTAGTAATAACACCAAGCCAGTTATGATCATGTGCAGTCAAAACATTACACGTGCAGCGAAACAATATGGAACAGCTTTTGTTAACAAGGAACTTTTCAAGACACTTCAGCAACATTTCATGGATTACTGCAGCTGTATCGATCAGTTTGAGACAAAAGGTGATGAAGCATTACGTCACTCCAGGACTATGACAGACACCTTGCACAATGAGCTGGTACATTGCCAGGCAAACTCTGATTAAAGATGCTAGTCAAATGAGGACTGACACAACACTATTCAACATTCTAATATATATATTTCCATGGAATGAAATTTATTTATGTGATGTTGACCGACTTGCAAAAGTATTGGGTTGGAAAGAATGTCTTCCAACACTTTCTAAAACTATTTATTAAAATTTTCAAAGGAATGATGGGCGGGGCTTTGCATTTGTATGTGCAGGAATTTCCTCGAAGCTTCTGCCCTTGGCGTCTATAATGCAGCTTCTGCCATTAGTTGGCAGCCATGGCTCCGATCGAACAAGCAACTCTTCGCCCCATCGTCTACTACGAGTTCCTCCAAGGACACTCTGCGAGAGCCGCCGCGGACAACATCTGCGCTGTATTCAAGGGCAACGTCGTCCACTATTCCAAGGTGTCTCGATGGTTGAAACGCTTTATCGCCTACTACGAGTTCCTCCAATGACACTCTGCGAGAGCCGCCGCGGACAACATCTGCGCTGCATTCAAGGGCAACGTCGTCCACTATTCCAAGGTGTCTCGATGGTTGAAACGCTTTAAATATGGCGACACGTCCTTCAGACGTGTCGCCAATATCCGTCCTGGAACTTCATTGCCAGACCTCATATATTCCTGAGGAAGCAAAATCCTATGAAGGACATAAAGAACCCCCGAAAGAATATTACATAATGACTAAACATGGTCTATGGCGGTATTAACGTTGTCCAAAACCCATATGCTAAAAAAAATTTTCTGTGATTTAAAGACCATTTTTCATGCTTAACTCCTGATTTATATAATTATCATATCCACACCCTGTTACAACTTCCACACAGTTTGACATGCTAAAGCTGTTCCTTTATGTGCAGTGATGAAACCTAGTCATTCTATTTGAAGTTCATCAAAGCCCGGATACTTTTATGAGTTCACACTAGTAAGTGTTTTAAAATATTTTTATGCTAGCATCTGATTGAAACCCTCTCATGCTGCCTATGGCTTGAGTATTCCTGCATTTCAAAATGGCCAACTTGTACTTATTGAACTATGAAAAAACTGATGCCATCTCACAAATTTTGTTGAATTTGCTAAGAACAAGGATTCCACTACAAGGTAACATGGTTCAATTAAATATTCCTCCCCTATGAGTATATGCACTCATCTCAATGGCTGAAAGGTTGTTGTTATGTAAATCTGCAGGCTATCCTTGGAAGAGCCTCCAGCAAACCAATATTTCATGAGACTCATGGTTCCACCATTATATTAGAACCAGACACTTTGATAAGAAAAACAGCTACAGGGTGAGTAGTCTAGTAAATACAGTGAATGGCTAGGGGGGTTAAGGAAGAAGCATGCATATGTTACTATTGGATATATGAATGACAAAAGCTCATGTTTCTGCGGAACATATGCAGCAACCTTTTTTTTGACAACTCATTAGTGTTGCTTTGTCACTCTTATCAGCCATCCACTCTCATCACTGAAATAGGCCTCCTGTGACTGTTTTTCTATACTCCATGAATTCCATGATAGGGAAGGAGATTTGGTGAATGGGATGCAATCCCAAGTCCATAGTCTCATGAAAGAAAAGTGAAAGTGTAGACACTTTCAAAAGATATACTAGCACAGATGTATAAATTCAAATGAGGACAATGTTCCAGGGGATCATGTGACCTTCAAGTAAACTGAGAGGATATCCTGACAGAAAAAGATAGCTAGGCAAAGCTTTAGATACCTAGGAGAATAGCTAGAAGATAGCTAGGCTACGATATCGTCATGATATATCAGGGAAGTAATGTTGCACAGAAAAGCTTGGCTTGCAACATGCAATACCCAAAACAAAATGTCAAGGCATTTTGAACTTATATTCTCTACATTTAAACCTTGTTTTTGCTTTTAAATGGCACATTGGGACTCAGATGAGGTTAGGAAGTTGCTTAAAATCTTTCTACACAAAAATGCACGGCAAAAGCCTGAAGTATGAATAATAACAGTACCTCTATTCTGATCAAGCAGAGATCTAACATTTAGGCACATCCATCAATTTCATTCCTTTAGAAATAAACTTTCTGAACTAGATAATGTAATGCCTACAGTCAAGGCCTATAATACCTACCTTCCATGCCTTACTCTACGTAAAGCCAGCATGAGCCACCTCCATCTGCTGCATTAATTTTTTTCTGTTTTCCTTGCTGGTTAACTGAGATCTGCTTCATGAAAAGAACAGGCTGCAATATTAATTTCATAAGTGATGACAATGATATGCAGTTCCATCTTTCAATAGGTTAAGATTTACCTTGAACTTCAAATCACACAACAACTTGACGATCTCATCACAAAGGGTTAGCATTTTCATAAATCCCAAAACTATAAGAACATTGCAATGTCTTTAGCACTTCCAACCTGAGCTGTTACCAATGACGACACTACAGACCCTGTCCTAATAATGCTGAGTCTAATAATAATAAAATTTACCAATTATGGAATCTACCAAGGAAAAGCTACTTACTTTCCTTTCTGTTCAAGTGGGCATTCTTCAAGAACTACTTGGTCCTGATCGTTGAAATAAGGCCTGGAGCTTCGCTATAATATAGCATTCCATTGGGAAAAAAGTGGTGAAGGTGGGAATAGAGGGCTGCAACTATAGAGAAAATGTGGAAGCACTGAGTGTTCTCAAATGGAACACGTGATGCTTTTAGGTCTCATGGGACCAATTTATTAATTTCATCTTAATAAGAATCTGTCCAATGATTATGTAACTTAGAGCTGCAAATTAGGTCTACAAATATGCAAAATAATGGATTCCATCTACCTGAGCTGAGATCCACCCATTCTTCATGACACACACCTGCCCAGTTATTATAATTTAAAATCACTGAAGTTGAGATTACGTTTGTAAGTTACCATTAACCTGAATCGTGCCACAGGTAAGTTAGACACCTTAACAGTTTCCTCACAGTTTACTAAGCACAATCTTAATAGTGCTTGTTTGATTGGCTTGTGACCATTATTAATGACAAAGCTATTGCAGATCGTGTCTTTCTCCCCTTCTCAACAGGATGTCACCATACAACACCATACTAAACACACTACAGGCTTTCAGTAAAATCTCCTGTGGTATTAAAACTATATTTGAGAATGACTTGGAAAAGTATTTTGTATTTTTCATTTCAACCAGTTTAAACAACTCATGGCCTCTGCAGTCAGAAGAAAAAGGATTAACCCACAAGGGGAGCAATTTCTGCAAGGGTAGAATTATGAACGCAATAGCGGTTTTGTTGGGCATGATCGCCAGTTTCTCCATCATCTGGATATGTGCGAGACTACAGTTTGTGGGGTCCAACGCGTGCCAATCAGATATTGGGGCTGATAATTTTCTCTCTCTCCTATTCAAAAACCTGGAAAGTTTTTAGGCGGAAGCTCCATGATTCGTTGAGAGTCATCATATGTGGTATGGATTCATGTAGAATGGGATGGTACTCTGAAGGTAATCAGGGTGCTTGAAATGACAGTGTGAACACATTTTCTGGAATAACAATTTATTCATTTCTTCATGGACTGATATCAAGAAGGTATTCTAAAGGAATTTGAAATGAAAAAAAATTTCATGCTCTCCTGAATAAAGGAACTAATGAGGGAAAAGGAATTACTACGAAATATCTACTACGAATCAGGAACCTCCATATCCGAGCATCATGGTATGACAGATGTCGCTGTCCAGATGAAATGTTGCGAGTTGATTTATGAGGCTTTTGTTTTAGTTATCCAAGCGAAATAATTATTATATACTCATGTCTTTCAATGACAACTGTGAAAACAAAGCTGAAACTCAGCTTATTTTTTATGACGTGTTGATATTCAGGGAGCTGCTGGAGCATGAAGCAGGCAAGAACCTCATCAAAGTTGAATTTTCCAGCATTAGTTGCAATCTTGCGACTTGACTCAGGAGTTTGGACCATAGTGGAACAACCGGGTTGCATTTCAGGCCGAATCTTCCTCCTCAAGCTATTACTTCCCAAGGGAAAGAAAGTAAAGCAATGACACTATTACAAATTTTTCGATTCGGAACACCTGAAAAAAGAACACGATCCACAACTTCGTTTAACGCAACACTTTTGGAACACCTCAGGTGCTCCTTTTGTGTTCTTCCCACCAAAGACGGGGCAGATGCCGATATAAATAAGCGAATATCGAAGGCAGATAATGCGCATTTAGTGAAATAAATATCTGCCGAAGAGGATACTATGCTTTGGCTCAGTGTGTAAGGTGTCTGTCATATTCCCAGAGTAAAGCAATGCATCATCACATTTTGTCTCAATCCTGGGAATACAGCTGCAGTAATTCATGAAATGTTGCTGAAGTGTCTTGATAAGTTCCTTGTGATGCTTCAATAATTTTGAATGACCTTCAAGGCCTTTAGCAAGTTCTCTTTTTATGCTCCAATAATTTTGAATGACCTAGCATAACAAGGAACTTCTCAAGACACTTTAGGGGACTTCGGGACTTTGGATCGGAATGCAGCACGCCTCGGAGCACATGGTGGGAAATGGGACAACTCGCTCAGATAGGGAGATCTATTTTGGATTTAATAGAGATTTACTACGAGGTTCATTCATTCCCTAATTTTTACTGGAATCTCGAAACTTAAAAATGTTCATTATATATTGGGAATAGAGAGAAATTTTAAACATTTTCGAAAGTTGTTCGTGCTTCCACTATACTTGGGCCTATGGCAACAGTGGCGTACAGTATATCATGGCGCCACACGAGCAATGCATGTTTTTTTTATTGTGCTGTAACCCAAGGTCTGGAGATGCGAAGCATCAGGTAGTGGTAACAGCTCAAATAAGCGCCTTCCCATTCTCTTCCTCTCTATAGCAACGAATGTAAACATTTTGGCTCGCAGCAAAGAGGGGGTAAACTAGAAAAATCGGCTTATCCCTTTTCCCATTTGGGACCTCCCCTCTCTCATGACAAAATTCGTTGATTTTCATGAATACATGAATTACTGTCGTGCCATGCCTCTTCCTTCTGCCTTATATCAATGCTCTTTCCATGTTCCATCAATGGTGGGTTGGTCAGATTTAAGATCAGGCAGATTCGTCTGCCACACTCATAAATGCCTACCAGAAAATGACTGATGGGAATAGAAGATCTGTGCCTAGCCTAGTACTGCAGGGATATCCTTTCGCCATGTGAATTTCCCCTCAAGAGTACAGCTTTTTTCTTCTTGATTTGAGCATGAAGGCATCTATCTTCCCTAATTTGACTGCATTAAAGAATGGAAAATAGTATTTATGTAAATTCCTTGATAGTTTGATGTTTAAAGAAGCAATTTTTGCTATACTCCAAAACATATTTGTAAATGTGATGTCTTCAGATGCAAGGTTTTCAGTTATCAAACATTAACGGGATCCAATTTCTAATATCATAGATTTCACCTTCTTGGTAGGATATAAATAGGAGCATCGTGCTTTCTTATGAGTGTAAAGGATCTGTAACACTTTGATGCCTTAAGACATCTAAATGATGCAATGCATCCCTGCAGTATCTTTCTTTACATTCCTGAAACTACAATGAAACCTAAGGGGCCCCACACTCGGTTGTTAATGGATCGCTTTAGAACCACTGTTGGTAATTATCTGTTACCTGTTCTTCTGGCATTTACATACTTTTGAGTAAATTTTCCCTTACTCGATAGTTTTCACCTTCATCAGTAATATTCTATGATCAATGGCATCAATACTTTATTTTCTCATCATTCTGTGTGATCACAAGATCATACATCACAGTGACATTGAAGAAATTCTTCAAATCAAATAAAATCACAAAAGTAACAGGAAGCACCAAGTAACAAAATATTTTCCAAATGATGAAGCTACACTACAGATACTATCCAATTAATTAACTCGTATTTAGAATTCAACTACCCCAAATAAAAATTTATCTTAGGAAAATTGTAATGAGCAAGACCAAGAAGGCCTAGGTTTGAACAAAAAAGAATTTAGCGCAGTGCAATCCAAAAAAAAGAGAAGAAATACTTGACTGCAGATCAGCAAAGCCTAGACCCGAACAGAAAGAGAATTTCAAAGCTCAGTTTAATTCATGGTCTCTACGGCCAGGACCTTCCCACCTAAAATTCTATGTTCGCTGATCACGACTTTTTCGAATCTTCAGGAGACTTTAACAAATGGGGCCTTGTTTGAGGAGTTAGGGGTCGAACACCCTGGCATCTCAATGGAAAAGTAGGAGGAATGGGCCCTCAGCATGAACTAAAGATGGTTCCATCACAGCTTGTCATTGTGCCTATTAGCCCAACACAGAGAAGTCAGTGATACTTATGCATCGATCACAAAACACTTTTCCAAGTCATTCTCAAATATAGTTTTAATACCACAGGAGATTTTACTGAAAGCCTGTAGTGTGTTTAGTATGGTGTTGTATGGTGACATCCTGTTGAGAAGGGGAGAAAGACACGATCTGCAATAGCTTTGTCATTAATAATGGTCACAAGCCAATCAAACAAGCACTATTAAGATTGTGCTTAGTAAACTGTGAGGAAACTGTTAAGGTGTCTAACTTACCTGTGGCACGATTCAGGTTAATGGTAACTTACAAACGTAATCTCAACTTCAGTGATTTTAAATTATAATAACTGGGCAGGTGTGTGTCATGAAGAATGGGTGGATCTCAGCTCAGGTAGATGGAATCCATTATTTTGCATATTTGTAGACCTAATTTGCAGCTCTAAGTTACATAATCATTGGACAGATTCTTATTAAGATGAAATTAATAAATTGGTCCCATGAGACCTAAAAGCATCACGTGTTCCATTTGAGAACACTCAGTGCTTCCACATTTTCTCTATAGTTGCAGCCCTCTATTCCCACCTTCACCACTTTTTTCCCAATGGAATGCTATATTATAGCGAAGCTCCAGGCCTTATTTCAACGATCAGGACCAAGTAGTTCTTGAAGAATGCCCACTTGAACAGAAAGGAAAGTAAGTAGCTTTTCCTTGGTAGATTCCATAATTGGTAAATTTTATTATTATTAGACTCAGCATTATTAGGACAGGGTCTGTAGTGTCGTCATTGGTAACAGCTCAGGTTGGAAGTGCTAAAGACATTGCAATGTTCTTATAGTTTTGGGATTTATGAAAATGCTAACCCTTTGTGATGAGATCGTCAAGTTGTTGTGTGATTTGAAGTTCAAGGTAAATCTTAACCTATTGAAAGATGGAACTGCATATCATTGTCATCACTTATGAAATTAATATTGCAGCCTGTTCTTTTCATGAAGCAGATCTCAGTTAACCAGCAAGGAAAACAGAAAAAAATTAATGCAGCAGATGGAGGTGGCTCATGCTGGCTTTACGTAGAGTAAGGCATGGAAGGTAGGTATTATAGGCCTTGACTGTAGGCATTACATTATCTAGTTCAGAAAGTTTATTTCTAAAGGAATGAAATTGATGGATGTGCCTAAATGTTAGATCTCTGCTTGATCAGAATAGAGGTACTGTTATTATTCATACTTCAGGCTTTTGCCGTGCATTTTTGTGTAGAAAGATTTTAAGCAACTTCCTAACCTCATCTGAGTCCCAATGTGCCATTTAAAAGCAAAAACAAGGTTTAAATGTAGAGAATATAAGTTCAAAATGCCTTGATATTTTGTTTTGGGTATGGCATGTTGCATGCCAAGCTTTTCTGTGCAACATTACTTCCCTGATATATCATGACGATATCGTAGCCTAGCTATCTTCTAGCTATTCTCCTAGGTATCTAAAGCTTTGCCTAGCTATCTTTTTCTGTCAGGATATCCATGAAACCCTGTTTGAAAGGCCTTGAGAAGCATCTCTCGGGCAGGCAACCACACAGTCCCGAAGTATGTGATACAGCTTTTGAATTCATTCCCTGCCGTCTGCATGGCGGCGATGAAGGCATTGCTGAAGCCGTCGTCCGTATTTTTGTCTGGCTCATTCCAATGAGGGTTCAGGTTTCCGATTCGGTTAGTGAGGTTTGTCCTGATTTGGAACCTTTTGTTCCTATGAGAACACATTAAATTCTTCAGTCTCGATACAGATCATGAAGTGTAAGTTACTTTAGTATCAAAACCTACTTGCAATCATAGATTCTAGGGCTATTGCCACAAGCATCTATTTCTCCTACGAAATTTTCGTACACCTTGTCGAATACCATGTCCACCTTCGGGTTATCTAATCCACAATCCAGGACTGTACTAATGATCCTATGGTCATAGTGAGCGAATACATGACCCGCACTACTCAGGGGCGTCGTCGGCATCTTCTTCGGTGTTAGGTGCTCAAGGGTGCTCAAGCTATGCTTGAGGTCACTGTCAGGGTAAAAAATGCGTTTTTCAGGAATTCAGACAGAATAGTACGAGTTGATATGTTGGTTGACTTTCATCTGACACAGAGGAGAGGCTTACTTTTTACGAAGTCCCCTGTTGTCGTGCAAAGAGTCACCATGATTTTCAGAGACTATCAATGTCATGTTAAAAGCATGCGGGGTCTCATTTGACCTGCGATCATCCTTGGCATCTGATTATGAAAATGGAGTAAGGTCCGAACAAATGATTCCCAGGAATAAATCCACCCGGTATTGAAGCACACATGCGAGGCGGAAAGCACGGAAGCGATCCACCCAGATATGGCTCAGTCTCAGAAACCTCGACGGCTAGCAGCGCACATCGGCTCAGACGAATGCTGGAAGGCAGGGAACACGCGGCACTCAGCAGTCACGATCCGCGGGGAAAACACGACACCCTCCTTCAGAACCAAACTGGGATGGTTGTCGCAAATCGACTCCCATCCCACAAACCAGGAATCCATCGTCTTCCGCGCTCTCTGCGCTTAACCTCGACCTCGGGTGCTTCGAACCTCGGTCCTCCAGTTTGAATTCTGATGATATTTCCACGGAGAGAAGCACGAAGAACTCTCGTGTTCATCGGCTTCCTCGCGTCGTTCGTTGGCGTTTTCACAGGAGTGAGGGGAAAGTGAATGGAAAGATCACGTCATTCTGCATTTTGAACGATGGAAACCGCACGACCACCACAAACCGCAACGGCTACGAAGGAATTGAATCGCCCCGCATTTCATCACGGACGCTCGAAATCCCTCAATGCAGGGCAGTAGGCGATGAGCGATGCCACCCCTCACTTTCGAGTCCCACGTTAACGCTCGTCTCCTCGTCCTTCCTGAAGATGGCGAGGCGGGAGCAAAACCCTTTTCCGTGCAATTTGCCCATCTCTCTCTCTCTGTGGACCACCTTTAAATTTCTTTTCTCGAAGGGGCATCCTCGGGCGACGAGGACTGGAAATTCTCAGTTCACATCTCGAAGCGTTTAACCAGGGGAGCTTTCACGCGCACAAACGTTCGTCGCTCGGCCCAGCTAGCGCGCAGGATCGCGCACGTTATTGGTTTAAATCCAGGTCATCCTGTTTAACCGCTGCATCATTTGCTCCAGACGGCTTTCGGAAATTACCAGCGAAAATTTGCTTTCAACGTGTTTCGGGGCTTCGGGGGTGTGGAGGCGTGCACAATGACACCATTTATTATACAGGGCGGCCCAAAAGTAGGTATACAGTATAGTTTATTTGCATTTTCAGCCTTCCAGTACTGCTTTAGAATCCACTTTCTTTGTTCTTGACTCAAGTTCGCTGCCATCATTTACAAAATCTGTAAATAAAAATGAAATAATAAAAAACTAAACAACTTTATACCTACTTTTGGGCCACCCTGTATAATAATGTTATTATATTACTGTATTATATTCATTATATATTGCCAGCCTTAGCGCTCCCATTTTCATTATTATTGGATTTTAAAAAAAGAAAAAGTTATTTACCTGATTCATCCTTTTTCTTGTCAATCACGTGGATTATTTCATTTGTGCGCATCAACATGGAATTCGTTGCTCCAAAGAGGAAACTGAGCGAGGTATTCTTCGAAAAAAAAAGTCAATTCGGCTAAAGCTGAACAAGAGTTAAATATATTCGATTTAGTGAAAAGTAATCGTGGATGTATTGGTGCCCCGAAAAAAAAAATCAGTTGACGGTACCGTACCGTATTCATTCATGGTATGGCGATAAACTTATGACAAATTGTTCGAGAAAAATTTCGGCACATTACGATGCCAAATTTTCTTGCCCAATCATGATACCAACAACTCATTTATGTTTCGTCATTCCTCGCGATAGGAAATTGTTCACTGCCAGGAATAATGCCAGAATCCCACGTGTAGGAGTCGCTGACTTCATCAAAGTCATCAGAGGCAAAAATGGGATTCATCAGCTCGACATAATTCGAGAGTTGCATGTGCTCAATAATCATGAACGCCCGGGAATTTTCGCATCTGTTTGAATAAATTCAGACGCAAAAAATTGCAAACAATTTTTATTTGATGATTTGAACTGTTGCAGCGTTGTTAGCACCTGCTGGAGGATTTTCACAAGATTAAGCTTCTTTTCGGATCTTTGCCCGTTTCTGAAATCAAAATATAGGCTCTAAAAAAGTTTTTTTTCTTGTGAACACGGGCGATGACGAAGGCTGATGAATAGAGGAGGCGCTGATGAATCGCTCGCGATGAATATGTCAATGGCTTCGGCCAGAAGAATCGCTGCATCTGTGACGGTTGAGCATGTGCCGAACAAGAAAGGCTAAAATTAGATCAAGTAATTTATTCACTGCATGCTGGGGTCTGCTGCCGACCAGGCACAAAATCTTGCTTCTCGAGTTCGTGAGAAGAGCTCGGCGAGATAGGCGACTCTCAGGTGAAAGAGCATTTACAGCGGAACCTCTCGCACTAAAAATGATTGCGTCTGCATCGATGCAAGACAGAAATGTGATATTCTTTCGAGGCCACTCGTGGCGGCTAGAAAGCGCTTTAGCCAGAAAATAACAGTTACCTTTTTGCTGCTTGAAAACTCGAGCCGAGATCGATCGCTATGCCGCCAAGCACAAAGGTCGATTCCAAGGCGTACGTTGAGACGTACGTCTTGGAATTATTCTTCGAGACGGAGCTAAATCCGATGCAGCAAAGGTAGCACGGGAATACTCGGACTATCACTTTCCCGACTTCGTGCGTCTTCATGTCGTCCTTAGCGCTGCAAAGGTCATATGTTTGGGGCTGGATGGAGGTATCTCGACGAATTCTGCACAGAGTAGCCCTCCAGGTGTGTGAGGGAGCTGAATCCTGCTGGAAGCACCAGGGAGTGCTACCAAAAGTATCTTGGAACCAGGGCAAGACATGCTTCTCCAGCACCTCCTGAATACTGAGCACTGCGAAGTTCAGTGTCGAGTGGATTCGGACCAATTTTCCGGATTTTATTGCAAAGAACAAATGGCCCAGCAACAGCCCGGATCATAATCCAATGAATTTCTCCATTTGGAGCATTATAGAGCACAATGCCTGCAACGAAGAGCACAAGAATTTGAAGCATCTGAAGGCATCCTTGTGTGCTGAATGGGACAAAATCCCCCAAGATGTGCTCTGCGCTGTTGCAAAGAAATTTGACGAGCGCTTTAAGGATTTTATCGCAGCCAAGGGTGTTATCGCATTTTTTACATTGAAAACACAATAAAATTATTTGCATGTATATTAGCCAACACTATGTGCATATAAATTTTCGTCTCTCTGATTCATTTTTATGAACTTGTAAAAAATGCGTGTTACAGAACTTATCGGTCATCCTGTAGGTCGCCATGGGATGCATAGCTATCTATCTCTATAAGCAAGGATCTCTGTCTGTCTCTGTCCATCTGACGCAATGCATTCGGACACCGTTAGAGATATCGACCTGAAACCTTCGCAGGAGGGTGGGGTCTGTCCAGTAGCAGGTCATAGGGGGGTCGGGGTCAGGGGGGGCNGTTTCGTGATAGCAAGATCACTACTGAACCTGATAGGGCGGTGAGCACCATATTCAACTTCCGTCTATCCCTTGCGTTGCGATCAGCTGCCTGATTGGTCGGCCTGAAAGCGTCGTCTGCTTGAGCAGCAATTTTTTTTTCTAAGCGCATGATCATGACCTTTCTATATAATCTATCAAAAGACTATGACAAATTATAAGTTTCCCAGGGTTCAGAAAAGAATAATCATGAGGGACACTGGTAGTTCAAAGCACCGATGGCGCAAAGATGGACAGTGTTATGATCAGCCAGTTATTCATACCAATTCATCAGACGAAGATTTTCAAATACTGTAGCTAGGAGCAGATTTGCACGAAATTCTGCACGTAAGGGATCACGACAGAACTCGACGCCAAAACATCGAAGCTACAAAATATTGTCCCTCTACAAAGTACAGGTAACACTACCCCTCGGCTATGGTAATCCCCCTGTTCAGCGGGTTCGACCAAAGGACACAACCCAAGTAACAATTTTCGAGGAGCCCACATTGGCCCAATGTTGTACATGGTCGGATTAAAGGGGAGAGGGGGTGCAAAGGGGGCTGTTGCCCCAAATAAATTTAAAACTTTAAGCAGTGGCATAAAGTAGGGAGGGGGGGAAACAAGAATCTACTTGCAACTTCGTAATCCGGCCCTGCGTTGGCACATTGCAGATTATTCACGTAGACCCCACGTTAAAGTGACCGTTGAGAATAGTCTGCGAAGCTGCCGATTTACTTCGTCTGGCCTGGAGCTCCCAAAAGGAAAGGCCTCCGGAAGACGGAAAGGTTTCCTTGGACTATGTCACGTGGAAAATGGAAGAAGATGTTCCAGGAGAAAGAGAGAAAAAACGATTGGAACAAGAAAAAGAAGAGAGGAAGAAGGTCAGAGACGCAATCAGAGCTGAAAAACTGCGATAAAACAAGAAAAGGACGAACAAGGGGAAGTAGAGGCGGGGCAGGGTAGAGAGTGGAGAAAGAAGACTTTCAGCCGATTTCAAGGAAAATTTCCATGAAGAATGACATAGGCCTACCTACGTCGAACGTCTGAAAGAGGCCGAATTCCTTAATTGCGGTTCGTATTCATTCTTTCTTGAGAGAATAAGTTTAATTATTAAAAGGCTTGTGGCCAACAACTGGATCCAAACTGGCCAAGTACTGGTGAAAAGTGACGAAGAACTGGTATTTTTGTAACATTACAATTTTGTTTATATTTTATGCTGCTTCAGGAAGGAAGGGAAATTAGTGATACCAGTGTATTTGCAGATTATTTAACTATCCCTGAAACTAAAAGAATCGTCTCCCCGGTTTGCCTCGATTCCTGTAGAGCCATTGCAAGCTCGGCGAACGGCTAAAATGGTCAAAAACTGGGGGTATTTACCCTAATAGTTCCAATAGAATAGGGGCCGATGGAATACCAGATCTGTCCCTGGTCTGATATTCTCTGGT